AATGCGTGCATGCGTCGGGCGCTCAGCCGCGTCTCTGTGAATGCGTGCATGCGTCGGGCGCTTAGCCGCGTCTCTGTGAATGCGTGCATGCGTCAGACGCGCAGCCGCGTCTCTGTGAATGCGTGCGTGCGTCAGGCGCGCAGCCGCGTCTCTGTGAATGCGTGCGTGCGTCAGGCGCGCAGCCGCGTCTCTGTCAATGCGTGCGCGTTTGTCACGGATCAGGTGTCAGTCTGTCGTCGGCCAGCAGACGCGGCGTTTTCCTCGCCGGCTATACAGCGCACGCGCACACCGCTCGACGTGCACGCGCAGATCTAAGCGGCGGCTTTGACTCGATGATTGAACTCATCAGCGCTGGACAATTTAGCGCGAGCCCGAGAATGACATCATTATGCTCGGATTAGTAGCCACGAGCGAGCGATTAGCTCGTTTTTCATGTCGGTATTAGTGTTATACTGGAGGTAATCTTCCGAGAAATATCATTACGGATAAATATACGTTCTCACGTTTTTAATTTGTTGCATTTTATTAACGCCCTCGCCCTCTCCCTTCTGAATCTCTTCTTGATAACTTTTCGTGACTCTTTTCACTCAATCTCTCTCTCTCACGCTTGCTATTTCTCCATCTCTCTCTCTCTCTCTCTCTCTCTCTCTCTCTCTCTCTCTCTCTCTCTATCTCTCTCTGCGCTCTTTTTTCACTTTCTTGCGCTTTCTCGCCGCTCTATCTTTCGCGTTATATGTCTCCTTCTCCTCCCACCCTCTTACTCGCTCTCCATCTCTCTCTCTCGTTCTATCTCTTCTCTCTCTCTCTCTCTCTCTCTCTCTCTCTCTCTCTCCATCTCTCTCTCTTCTCTCTCGCTCTCTTTTTCTCTCTCTCGATCTCTCTTCTCTCTTTCTTTCTCCAGCTCTCTCTCGCTCTCTCTCTCTCTCTCTCTCTCTCTTCTCTCTCTTCTCTCTCTCTATCTCTCTCTGCTCTCTTTTTTTACTTTCGTGTGCTCCCTCGCTTCTCTATCATTTGCGCTACGCTATATGTCTCCTTCTCCTTCCTCCCTCTTAGTCACTCTCATCTCGCTCTCTCTCTCTCTCTCTCTCTCTCTCTCTCTCTCTCTCTCTCTCTCTCTCTTCTTATCTTTCTCTCTCTCTCTCTTTCTCTCTCGCTCTCGTTCGCTCGCTCCTTGTCACCGTCGTTAGGTATATCTTCAGTTTTTATGCGCGCGTAAGCTCGGCTTCAATACGTTGGCAATTTGCTGTTGGTAATCGGTTATAATGAAGCAGCACCGCCACACGAAACACGAGACACAATATCTATCTACCGCATATCAACTGGCACCTTCCATGCGCAGGCAGCCTTGGAAACAGCAACCAATAGGTAACTGTAATATTATTGTTCTGTCGTTGTATACTACCGCCCCCTGCTGGGAGAATTGGTATAGAAAATTTATATTCGTATACGTCTTTATACAATGCAGTGTCAATTTCTATCTAACAGTTAAATTGCGTGCGCTCAGACCTACTTAAACGATTTTATTATTTTGAATATATCATCATATCAAACTTTGGGCTCACCAGTTTGAATGCACGCAGGAAGTGTTACCCCTAATGCGAAAATGCCTCCTTGTATTTTTAATTTCCAATTTAGTATTCCAACAGTAAATTTCAGAATTTCGGACAATTTTGGCTATGGGATACGCTCTGGTAATGACCAAAATATCATATGACATATTTACATAGGATAAGACTTATATTAAACAGGATTAAATTGGTTAGAAGCTGTAAAAATCGCTGAATAAATATTATGTTACTGAATTTATGTATAATGCGGTTATATTATTGCACATTATATAGAATTCACTGCCTACTACTCTGAGCTAAAATGTTTTGAAATTTACACACTTCTCGTAATTTTTGAAAGCTATGTGCGCTGCCTTTTGTCATTCGCTATATCTCGCCTATCTCAGAAAGAACCCGAACATTCGCGACATGCACTAGCAAATATGACACACGCCCGGGATATGTTTTTACCACGGGTCATTTGTCGCTAGCTCGTCGTATTCTCGTACACGTACAGTGACTCGTTAACATAGGCTATGCGAGAGTATGACTTGAAGTTGTTTTTTTTTGGGGGGGGACATGAGGCTATGATTAAGCGCGCGCGCGATCAGTCCCCTAACGGAATGCACGCTGCACGCGTACTGCTGTGGCGTACAGCTGCTTGTATACTCGTCGTGCATGGCTTCCTGCGTAATCGTGGCTGCATAAAAATACTGCGCTGGTTATGCTAGTCCGTGGCTGCTAAGCTACCTATCGCTACTTATCTACTTATACTTGTAATTTGGCGTCCGTTTCACAGCCTTCGGGCGTTATCGTGTTACAAGCATGTTCGGAAATTGTGTGCGTGGTGTATCGTTACTATATTTAGTAATTCGGCGGGTTTCCTTATAGTACTCTTATGTGACAAAAATGTATCGTTGGACGAAGCTGCCTGCAACATCCCCGACTCTGCGTCTACAACATCGTTAGCTCAGATCGAAAGCAACATATACCACCGTCACGAGTAAAGAACTCTGAAAAATATTAGTATCACTGCGATACCGCCTGGAGAACACTATTCAATAGCCTCGTTCACACGAGACCTCGTATTTCTGAAATACCAGATTTGCGAAATACCGTATCTGAGACAAATACGCGGCCGAGCGTTCACACGCGGATTCGCGGCTCCAGAAATACGGTATTTCCGGATTTCTTGCTACGTGTGAACGCGGCTAATGTATCGGGAAAATAAAATACGGTATTTGTATTCTGCGAACTGCTTTAAACAATCAAGCGAACAATGCGAAATAAACAATGCAATGCGCACCAACTGCCGATAAAATACGTAGACTGGTCCGCGCTCGACAGTTCCACTCGCGTTACACTAGAACTGTCGAGCGCGGACCAGTCTATAAAATACGCGGCTTCAGAAATCCGGTATTTAGCTTTCACACGAGGAAATGCGCGGTCCAAGAAATTCGGTATTTCTCAAGCACGGCAAATTATTCGGGGTCTGGGAAGCCTCGTATTTACATGAAATACCGGATCTGTTTAGATACCGTATTTCTTGGGCCTCGTATTTTGCCTCGTGTGAACGCTAAATACCGGATTTCTTGCTACGTGTGAACGCGGCTAATGTATCGGGAAAATAAATATTTGAATACATAAGTTGCCGGCGCCGTTACGTTTGCCCAGCTGGGAGTAAGAACTGCACAGACCCGCGTTTCCTGTACGTCTGCGCGGTTACGTCTTAGATAAAATGGCAGCGGTAACAAACGATTGACAATTTGCTGCGTTGTTGTATAACCCTGGTGGATAGCCTGCGCGTAGTTTTGACGGCAGCATTACTTTACGAGAGTGAAAATTAATGCTTTAATACGGTATGCATGCGCGAGTGCGTGCGGGCAGGGCGACGAGCGTTTCTGCGCGCGTGCGTCTGTGCGTCCGTGCGAGCGTGCGTGTGTGTGTGTGCGTGCGTGCGTGCGTGCGTGCATGCGTGTGTCCGTGTGCGTGCGTGTGAGCGCGTGCGCGTGTGAGTGCGTGCGTACAAGCGTGCTGGTGTAAGTATTGTAATTTGCTACAACACGACTGCTTACTTCCTAATTTTGAGTTATTAAATGCTCGGGTATATTTACCTCACACCATCAGAATATTATTGCTATTCGTATTTTAAATTTAATTTACGTGTGCATTTAGTTTACAACATAATAATTATTATTACTACATGAAGAATATAGAATGGTTATTTGTATGATATTGCACAGAAATTATGTAGCAGTAGGAGAACAAAAGAGGTTGATAAGTGGCCTGTATAAAGTTAATCTTGTATATATGACATGTTCACTATAGAAATTTATTTACACGCATATTGTCATGGTTTTACATCATAAATGCATTAATTTTCTTGCAAAAAATGCTTTCTTGACTCTATCCGTGAAAATATTGCATACTTTCGAGGCAATTTAGATTCATTAACTTGTGTTATGAGAAATCGTAGAAATAAAGTTTTTCCTTATTTACTCGATATAAACTAATAACAAAGGCTTTTATTAGATAGATATTTTCTTCCAACTTGCAAAATAGCAAAAATAGTCACCTATAGTTTTTCAATTGATCGATTTTGAACGCACGACCACTAGGGTCACTCATGACGCTTTTTTTTCAATATGAAAGAAAAGCGAAAAACTCTGCCAGAAAAAATATCGTTGATTTATGATTGACTTGTAAAGTACATGTACAGTGATGAGGTCAATGTGATTTATTAATTTATTTCGATGTACACTGTAAGCTGCGGACGATTTTTTCCAACGAAATATTTGCTAGACCATACAATTTAGGATGTTGCATATCCTATAACCCCGTATCGACCTGCTCTATTTATGCCATTAAAACACACTATGTGTGACGCAGGGGGCCGACATACGAGGAGAAGATATAAGCACGCCTTCCTTTGGGTTGTAAGCCTACTATTTTCATGTGAAAGACGGTATACGGGGAAGACAACTCGGTCTTCGGCAGACTAGCGTCACTTCTTGTGATTTGGAGCACTAAAACGCCGCAGCTTTCCCGTAGCTTTGGACTCCGTTGACTTGTTCGACCGATGTTCTTGTAGCTACATACTGCTCCTAACTGATATACACACCAGGGAAAGGCTTAATTCTAACATTATGAGATCGTCTAACCATTTAGTACTTTCCGTTGCTTTGCCGTCTAACCGAACCGAACAGAACCGCAGATGTACCAAATCTAGTTGTTATAGTAATCTCATTAATCGGATATTAAAACCCAAAACATGCATGCGTTTGTATATACCAACCCGCATAGAAACTTATAAAAGATATTACTTAAGAATATTTTATAAACTATAAAAACAACCATAATATAACATAGTAATTATCTAATTCCCGCTTGGGAATTGAGTTAAATATTTATATATATATAGGTTGACTTTTACATATAATAAGATAAATTATATACAGTTCATATAGTTAGATCTTTATTATGCAATAAACAATACATGTGTAGCAAATCGTATTTATATTACACGTTGTGAATATTGTTAGCGTTAAATAAAGCTCATCATGTATACTTATTATAGACTGTAAAATTATGGACTGTATCGTATAACTGCGTTGTACGACTATTTGGGTTTACTAACTCATTCAGTTGAAACGTATTTATTTAATCCCGGGCACTTCCTGCTCTATAACATTCTGCTAAAGTCATTATGTTTTATGATACTCACATTATTAGTTTCTTTGACTGCTTTGGCACATTTGCTCACGTACCTTTCATCAACTAAGGATTAAGATATCGTCTGTCGTTCTGCATTCTTATCACTGTAATGTTACAAGAGACTCAATTACCAACGTCGCCATATTGGCGTCGACAGAAGCCGCAGGAAGTTTTTCCCGGAACTGCATGCACCTTACAATGGCTCCTAATTACATGCTTTTGAGTACGTAATTCTTTGTTATACCTTCATAGGAAGTTGCGGTTTCGGATTCCGGAAAAGGCGTCACATCAGGCCGAACGTAAATCTATTTAAATACGAGAGAAACATTGTGTTGGCAATGTTACCCTCTGTAAGCCGACAGGCTAAGTATACCCCTCACCGCTCACAGACAGAGGCTGCCACTAGGTGGCAGTTGTTCTTAGCTGTTTCACTATGCTGCCACAATGTGATAGTTGTTATTACCTATTCTACTAAGCTGTCACAATGTGACAGTTGTTCTTAGCTCTTCTACTAAGCTGTCACAAGGTGACAGTTGTTATTAGCTATTCCACTAAGCTGTCACAAGGTGACAGTTGTTCTGAATTCTTCCACTAAGCTGTCATAAAGGGGACAGTTGTTCTTGGCTCATCCACTATACTGACATGGGTGTGAGTGTTGTTCCTATCCCATACACTAAGCTATCACGAGTTGACAGTTGTTCTGAACTCCTCCACTAAGCTGCGACGGGTGGGGCAGTTGTTCATAATTCCTCTACTAAACTGTCACACGGTGACAATTGTTCTTAACTCTTCCACTAAACTGTCATGAAGGCGACAGTTGCTCCTGGCTTCTCTCCTGCTAAGCTGCCACATGGTGACAGCTGTTCTTCGCTCTTCTAGCAACCGCTCTTTGCGGCGTGTCTTGACCATCGCGACCCTTGTGAATCACCGCAACGTGACGCGGCGCTGGGCGAAAAGAAAATCACGTCGATCAGTCGCAAAATGTACAAAAACCCGGACCAGTTCGCGAACGCAGGACTCGAGCGGTCGACTAACATCCCCCCCACACACCACACCACCCACTCCGGCTGTTGTCATCACTGCTTTGAGAAGATGTCTTTGAGCTTGGCCGGAATGCGAAAGGTGCTGCTGCTCGGGCCGACCTTGCGCGGCGGCGGCGTCGCGTCCTTGCCCGGCTTCGTGCTGAACGGGTTGCTCGGCGACTTGGAGCGACGAAACGACGTGCGCGCGATCGTCGCGTTGCCCGACGGATTGAGCAGGGATGTGAGCGCGCCCTTGTCCTCGGAGATGAAGAGCGGCTTCAGCGGCGCCTGCTGCTCCTGCTCGCGCTGCGACTGCCGCACCGCCTCGCGGAACACGCGCTCAACGTGCTCGTACTCCTCGGCGGCCGTCGTCTCGTGGAACTGCGATTCGAACTGGTCGGCCATCGCCGCGCCCTCGCCCTTGCTCACCTGCCTGCGGAGAGATGCGATGTGTATAGACGGAGATGTATATATATATATATATATGTATATCAAGAGTCCATAATAGAAAATTTCTCTATAGAAAATTCGAATAGAAAATCTTCTATTATGGACTCTTGATATATATATATATATATATATATATATAGCCTATGTATATATATAATATTATAGGGAGTGCACGCGGTAAAGAGTCTCGCTGCACTCGCGATGCGGATACGAAAGTGCTGGAATGCGTTCCGGGAACGAGGAAAGGATGTTCGTAACGCGAAATTCCGTAGCGTGAATCACGCGGGAAATGCAGCGGTTTTTGGGAATGCAATCGTTCATTCCGTTGGGAAATTATGTGAGAGCAAATTTTCGTTTTGTTTCGCGAGTAAAGTTGCCATTATCTACCCTTTACGCGTGAGCGAATTTACGTAACTCGAGTTATCGTAACGCAGGGTATTACTGTATGCTATGAGGCGATCTACCAGACGATTGGCGGAATGATTCACCATATCGTCTGGTGTCAACTAGATAATAATTCGAATCGCTATAAAGGTTTCACTATGAGATAGATGAGGTACGACACGATACGGTGCATGATACGATACGATTCCATCACGATGGGATGGGATGATTGACATTGGACATAATGAGTTATAACAGTGTAAAATATATTTAGAGAGGTATAGGATGTATGCAAGAGCTGTATGCAGAGAATGCAGGGATCTATGTTGAAATACGGAGGCTAGGCGAGAAGAGGCGAGACAAGACGAGACAAGTTGAGGTCATGTGTGCATGTGCTGTTTTCTGTAATTACTTGCCTTCCTAGGGTTAATAACCTGTGGTGAGATTATACAGCAACGGACCCACGGAAAGCAGCTGTCATGCGTAGCGCCAAGCTGCAGCGTGAGGGCAGTAAAAATGATCGCAATCACAAGAGGGTAAATCTACTAAGAAAGCTAGGGGGGTGGCAACGCAGTGAAGGCATAGAGAGTCGTACATGAACTTATCACATATTATCGTTAGGCAGATCTAGATACGTTTAATTCCTCTTTACATCTTCTCCATAGCTTTTATTTTTTTCTTATATTATCGCATGGCAACCTAATTCAAAGGACCTTAATTACTCCTTCCTCTTGTCTTATCAAGAGAGGTGTATCGCCGCCGTCAGATATTATTTATTCCTAAAGAGATTTACAAAGCACTTGCAAGACTTCATGACCAGGAAACACGCCAAATTGTTTAAACATGGCATCTGTGATGACGTCAGTCTTAACGCGGCAGGAGCGTTTGCTATCTTAGAAGTACTCTTTCGTATGTCGCAACCGTTATTGACAAGATCCTCTCTTCCCACGCTTTGCTAAAGCAATAATATATAGTGGGCTACGCCTTATTGCACTTTGCAGCGCTAACAAAGAGTCGATCAGAGGGTATTAATCCCAAATAGACTTCTATCAGTCTCTTGTGTTTCTCCTCATTGTTTCATGTCTGTTAGCCGTAAACCAATACAAGTGATAGTAGTGAAGTGATGGTTCTGAGACAACTAGAGCTGTTCCGTTATCGATGCCTACTCTCGCCAACAACCAAGTGAAACATCTGGGCTCCTAATACTTATAATTGCTTCCTCGTACTAGTGACCCTATAGAGACACGAACGGAGATCGTATTAACTATCTCCTGAGTTCTAATCTAGCTGCAATGCCCGAGGTATAGCGACTATACGTCGCTGACGTTAGCTATTGACAACGCCGCCATTCTCGTCGGTATGGCTTCGGGGCGCAAAAATTCACTTACTGTTGAGTACGATCAGCATGCTAGCCGTATTGTGCTCGCGATATCAGAGACTGCGTATCAACAGTGGGTAAACAATCAAGCGCAGTTTCAATACCTGACACAAAAGGCTACTCGACTAGAGGGCGGCTGACGCGACTACAGATTGATGACAGTGGTGACATTCGCCTAAAACCTAGTGCAGACCTGCGACTTTTTCATGCAACTCGACTGCGATTTTAGTAGAATTGCTGTAAAAATTGCTGCGAAATCACTACGTCTGCGGGAATGTGCAGTTGCAACCCGTAGCGATTCTGGTCGCTTGCGACGAGTTGCAAGAAATCAAACTGTTTTGATTTTGAGCGACTCGACGCTGCAAATCGCTCCCAAATTGCTCTAGAATTCCTTCGAAATCGCATGCATGTGTGCGCACACGCGGTGACACATCGACCGATCGCTTGCGGTTGCAGGTTGCAGCGACGAGCAACCAAAAATCGCAGGTCTGCGCTAGGCTTATGCCTAGGTCTTAGGCTTATGTCCTATGGTCCTTATGGTCCTAGGCTTATGCAGGTTTCCGCTAGGCTTAAAGCCGGGCTTATATCGGGTTGCGATTGCTTGCGACGCGACGCGACGCACTGCAATTCACTGCGGCTGACGTGCTTAAGGTAGTATCTCACTGGGCTGTGACAGCTCGCGACTAGTTGGAGACACAAAATTGCGAGAAAATACGCGAATTATTTCACTTGGAATTTTTACTTGGAATCACACTGAATTGGTACTTACGACACGTTCGCGTATGTCGCACGAATGTTGCACGAATGTCGCACGAACTCCCGGCGAAATTTGGGCCAAAAACGTTCGCATACATGTCGCGCGAATGTCGCGCGACACTCGCGCGACATTAACGCAACAAAATTGCGATTTTTTTGCACTCGTGCAAACAGTGCATGTCGTGCAACAGTCCCGCGACAGTTATGCGTGACAATTGAGAAATCTGGACCATATAAATACGGGGCCCCTCCCCAGTCCAGCAATTATTTTGTTATCAGACGTCAAGCGAGATGGACATCAGAGAAGAAGTGCAGAAGCTGCTGGATGAGGACCCCAACCTAGATGAGGACCAGGCTGACATAGTTTCATAGGTCGCCAACCCCTCACAAAGTTGCCTCACATTTCTCCCACTTTCTGACTCACGGAAACTAAATTGAGAAGAGTTCGAGATGGGTTCGAGACACCCGCGACGACTCTGTGACTATTTTAGGAGAAAATTTGTCGCGCGAATTTTTTGAACATGTTCAAAATTCCAGCGACACGAGAGGGAGGCCCTGCGACTCACGCGAGGAAATTGAGAACCCCTGCAAACGTTTCGAGACATTTTGGAATCTCCCTCGCGAATGCCGTTCGCAATTTGTCGCCAACAGTCGCAGCCCAGTGAGATACTACCTTTAGGTCGACGGCGACGCAACTGACAGCGACTGCCTGCGACCAGTCGCAGCCAGTCGCAGAAAGCGGAAGAAGGCGGAAGGTCGAAGCGACGATCACCTATTGATCGCGCAACATGACTTGTTGCTGTGTGCATGTTGTGTATATGACTGCATGCACTGATTGTTTCATTCGCCTTGTTCGCTTTTGCATTTGCATTGTTTTATTATCTACTCTTGATACAATCAAATGCAACAACAAAGGATGACACCATGTGTGATAGGATGGCATGGGAAAATGTACGATAAGATAAGGTACGCTCTTGAACTAATATGAGAAAGTGCTACATTCTACGTACGTCATATAATGTGCGCTAGAACGAATTTCTATAATTATCAGATCACGTTATACCTATATCGCTCAAGGTCCATCTTGTTTCCCGCCAATATCATCGGCGCCGACTTGTTGTTCACCTGCAGATACTGTGATATCATCTCCATGTAGCACTGCGCACTTTCGAAGCTCTGACGGTTTGTGATGCTGTAGACCACGATGAAGGCATCGGCCCACCGCAAGTACCGATCGGGATTCGAACCCTCCTATAGATGATAATGAATATCATAGCTAATATAAGCACGGAAGGTTGTTCTGAACGAACAGCGCGCAAGTTGACATGGTTACTTACATTGCATGTTTAGGGAAGGTGAATTTACCTTGTCGTATGTGTCCATGACCTTAACCAGGACATCTTGGCCGTCGATGTTTTCTGGCTTAGTGTAAATATCCTCTGCGAAAAATAAGCAGTAAACGCTATAATTTAATGCTGAGTAATTGTAAATGATTGAAGATGAGCCGTTTTTAAAAAAATATCCAAGGCCAGCATATGGCATTATCCTAATTGTCGCTGCAGAAAATACACAGCGTGGAGTGAGAAAAAACGTTCCTTTTCAACTTGAATATATTTAGTTTGTAAGCCATTATTTTGTAAGCGTATTACCTACACTTTCCTACAGCGAGCATTTAAGTATAAAGCCTAGCCCGTTGGGATGTTTAAATAGGCACTACTCTGTCGCGGATAGATTGGTGAAGAAGAAGCTCATATGCCGCCGCCACGAAGAAGTGCACATAACACAATGTCATAGCAACGCATGAGCAAACATCATATACCACATAATATAGAATAAGGTAGTCGTGCTAACGTGGAAAGTATTATTTTGTTCTGCTTGCGTATGTCCACATTAAAATACATATCAGCCCAAGCATATAAACTGTAGTTTATAAACATGTGCCCGGGATATTATACCTGCTAGGGTAATACATTGACTCGACCCCCTTTTTCCATCACGGCCCTGCGTTAAGGTTTCCCCGCCAGTAAATACGATGGTAATTTTGTATTTACTTACATATATAAGAGTGAACTACGACATTTGTGGAAACTACTATGATATTGCGTGTAATAGAAAAAGTGTTAGATGAATTAATATGCAAAGGGTTATACCTCTGTGCATGCGTCCGCCGAGCTAATTGTGCAAAGACTAAAAATAAGTAGTGGCTAGGCGACTGTTTTATTCACGAGCAGAAATGCGATGAACGTTGGCGATGCAGTATATAGCCACTTACCTAGATGTGGATCGTATTCGTTGATAAATCTCCTCGTCATGTACTTCACCGTGAGAGCTGCAATGGGGAAGAGTAGAATTTATATGATTGCGTGCATTACAACACGAATATCCCATCGCGATAGACGACGCGCGCGCTTTCGTTCGACTTGCAAACGCGATTTCACACAGCACCTGTCAGTCCTGTTTAACGGCGTACTTTGCTAACGCCGCCGCGCGATGCGAATCGTCCCCTGTGACGCACACGACTATGGTGACCGAAATGACCGTTAAATTCGTCACCAACGGCCTGGGACATGATTATCACTATATCTGTGTTTCTTCTTCGATAATCCCGGTTATATCATATATCCTCCCCAAGGTATCATATCCCGTGCTATCATGGAAGATTATAGCTATTTGGGCCTCGCGAGGCGCGAGGCTCCTGGCCGTTATCAATGCGTCGTCCGAAAACAAAAGCCTATGTAAGAAAACACTATCTTTGGAAGGTGCAACGATCTCTTAACACCCAGCGTTAGTGCTCGTGTTAAACAAAGCATGGTCATTACTGATTTACGCGCGACAGCCCGCAGCGACGGCCGTTGCGTATTTAACCGGTGGCATCTTACGACCACGTTTCAATTGAAGTTTAATGAATGAGTTAGCAATGATTCATGAATGTAATAACCGCGATATTTCCGGTGCGTTTACTGCGCGTACCGTCCTTCACCTCCTTCAGTGACCTCTGAAAATAATTGGACGTAATTAATTCTATTTAATTAACTGGCTGTAATCAAATTATTGCAGGAAAAGCACGCGAAAGGTGCTGCTGTTTATGTCGCTATAATGTGGCCCCGATGCGTCATCTAAGCACTTATGCTGCTTCTTAGTGAAGTTAAGTTCAATGGTGACACGTACGACAGAGTGTACGTGCGGTACGCAAGGCAAATACGTCTACCTATGTCATTTTACCCATGTCACCCCTCTACCCTTAAACTACCTTACCGTTTTTTCGCTCGTTTAGCCCTTCTCTCTCTCTCTCTCTCTCTCTTTCTCTTTCACGGTCTTGCGTTTTTTTCCCCATCTTTCTGGCGATAACGCTATCGACTATTAGACTTCGACCATTAGACATTAACCATTAGACTTGCGCAATGTTAACAATATCTACGAAACCCAACATATTACCATTGCCACTAGCATCATATATATATACATATGTACG